GGTGTGTAGGTCAGAGAAGTGGCCCCGCCCCGTTTTTCTCCACCCGTGGGCCCGGGCGGGCCCCCCCCCCAAGCCCCCACCCCCCCGAGTGGGGGGGCTGGGGAATTCTGGGAGTTGAAGTCCACGCATCTTCAAGTTGTCAAGGTTGAGAAACACTGTTTTAGTCTAAGGTACAGAGACCAATGCCCTACCAATCAAAGAAGCATGACACAGGAGAAGCATCTATTGAGACATTATGTTCTTTGGCAACTCAGTCTGTGGCAGCAGAAAACAAAACATTGCCCGCAGCCTCTGTGTGCCTCCGCCTAGGGGGCAGCAGGGCGACTAGAGCATTTCCAACCCCACATTTCAGAGCAATTAACAGATGGTGGCATTGGCCGAAAGCCAACCGAGGAGAGAAAACAGTTGATACGCATAAGTAGCCTGAGCCTCAGTCCTTGAAGGCTTTGAATGTGATGACTCGAAGGGTGGAACAAACTGGAGACACGTAGAGCAAAGTGCAGTTTCTATTGATCTTAAGCTGAGTCACACGAAGGAGGAAAAGAGCTCGGTGTCCCTTGTTATAAGAGGCAGCAGGCCCGAAAGAGAAGCATCCCCTTGGCCGACGAGAAATGCAATGAGACGCTCTCGTTGGCAGACATGAAAAGGACAGCACCTGGGCGTAGAGCCATTTCAGACCCAGCTGCCGTGGAAGTGCCAACGGCTGAGCCCCGGACCACCAGCAAGATGCTTGCTGAGTCGATGGCCGAAACAAGGTACAGCTTGACGGAGGAAGGGATCTGTAATGAAAAGCAGAGATGCTGCTCAACCTAGGAGGTAAGGGGGAAAAATGGCTTCCTGCATTGCTGGAACAGGAAACAACTGAAGCTGGAACAGGAAGCAACTGAAGCTGGAACAGACCAAACCCTGAATCCCTTCTACTCTCACAAGCATCCCGAACAGGACAAAGGAGCTGAATTCCAGAAGAAAATGGACTGAAGACAGAAACTTCTAACCCGCCGAGATTAGAATCACGATGGTCTGTCCATTCCTTCTGTTTCTGGAAAAGCCTCCCAGAGTGAATTTTTGGCATGCGACTAGAATTAGTAATCAGCCTTCTTTTCTGCTCTAACTGTTATGTTAACCTCTTGGCCGGTGACTCTTATTGGTTGGGGTCATATACGTTAAACCATGGATTACTTAACCATGATTTACTGAATAAAACACAACTGGCTGAGTTCTCATATAGTTTTACGTCCTAAATCCTGGATGATAATACAGCAGCGGCCTTCACCCAACAGGCCAAGCCAAAGCCAACCAAACTCAGTATATCTTAACAAGATGCAGGAACCCAGCCAAAGAGAGGAGAGAGCTGCATATCCCCCTGGGGGAAGTCAGGTGAGGGGAACCCTTACCTCTATCCTCATGACAGCAAAATCAGGAATGGGTGGGTCATACAGGGAGACGCAAGGATCCAGGCGGCTTTGAGTGGGGGCCAACAACTTTGAGTTGGGAGGAGCGGGTGCGTAGTTCAACATTTCGCACAGGGTCAGAACATCAATGAATTTGGGCGTCAGACCAGCGCGCACCGTGTTGTCAGAACAAGCCATACATTCAATGCAGTCTGCAGAATAAGGACAGCCGCTCATCAGGCAATGGAGCTCATGCCAAGTCAGAAATCAGATTATGGCTGAGGTCAGTGATGGCAAACCTATGATGCGCGTGTCAAAGGTCACACGCCACGATGTTCTGGGTGACACACCAGCGTTCACCAACACCTGACAACTATTCTCTCTGTTTGAGTTACCAAAGAAACTGAGTTCGCTTTACTCGTATTTCATTTTTGTCATGATCTGACGTTTCTTTACAGGGCACCACACATGATTGGACTGTATTTTTTTTAAATAAATGAATACGTAAAGAATTGTTTCTCTTTGGTTTAGTGGGGATGAGACGCCAGCAGAATCAAGTTAGGCCATTTCCGAATTTTTGACATACCGAGCCCAAAAGGTTCGCCATCACTGGCTTAGGTAATGTGGGAACGCAATGTCGGGCCCTTGGGAAAGAGAGATCCTGAACGCCGCCCCACTCCCGAAACAGAATGTCCTCTATGGAGATCCTTGCTTCCCATCCCTGTGGAGAAACTCACCTCCGTAGAGGTACGCGTGAGGTTCATTTGCTCCCAGAAACATGCATTCCCCAGGCTGCAGCTTCATCTGGTTCAGGAAGTAGATAACGAAGCAACCGATATCTCCTGGGAACTGGGAGTGCAACTTGAGAAGCAGTTCACCACAACTGGCTGAAATATCTCTCCCTGCAGCAGCTGGTAACAAGATACAGGAAAGGGAGATGAGTGAGGGCTGGTCCAGATTAGCCTCTGTATCTTGCCATCAACACCCTCATCCTGATACAAGGTCAGTGTGCTGAGCTTAACCTAGGCTTAAATTACAGCCCCCAAAAGCGATTTGCTGCAAAAACATTCTGGGCAAGAAGCAGGTCAAAGAATCTATACCAGTGTTTCTCAACCTTGGCAGCTTGAAGATATGTGGACTTCAACTCCCAGAATTCCCCAGCCAGGGGAATTCTGGGAGTTGAAGTCCACACATCTTCGGGTTACCAAGATTGAGAAACACTGATCTATACATTTCTGTATTGGAGGATGGTCTTCCCACTTCTGTCAGCCCCATTAATTTCTACGCAGAATGGAAATGGAGCAGTCCACTTCTCTCTTCATCCATTAACTCTCCTCACCTGGAATGTGGCGCCTCTGTACTAGGCTCTCCTGATCTCTTACAAGACTAACCTTCCCGGGAAATCCGCTTGACCAGCAGGTTGAGGTGATCCACAAAGACTTTCTTCTCGCTCTTCATCATCCTGGTGAAGCAAATCCGCAGAGCAGCTGACACGCCTCGGGGGTCGTCCCTCACGCTTCGCTCCAGTTGTTCCGCCGCCACACTCCCGATCAGAGCTCGAAATTCAGGGACATCTGCAGAAAGGCCAGAGAAATGGCGAGAGTCTCACCATGTGCATTGACCAACGGATGGCTGATCTTCCGTTTAGTCTCTCTGATTGTAGAGAATATGGAAGATGACCTTGGTGGAGATAGCCAATCTCAGTCAAAGTAGTTGTAGCCTTCCTGTGGAGTTGGTTTCATGATCTGGCCTACCTAGTGGGTTGACATCAGCTGGGGAAAAACTATTTGGAGAGATGATGACTGCTCTCTCATGCCTACCTGTTCCAAGAGGTCACCACCTGTTTGTGCCTGGAACTCACAGCTTTTCCACACTCAACTCCACTCCTGAATGCCTCAAATTTCACGTGTGAGATTATATTGCTCTACTATTACTTTAACTCAAAACTCATTACTAACTAAACACCCAGAGAGGTACCCACAGTTCCAATGCAACGTTTTCCCTGCCTCACTTTAAGTAAGAAGGCCTCTGTCCCAAACTCCCAGGATCTGCTAAGCCAGATCATTTACCTTACTAGGACTTGCCCCTGGGTGATACTTTTTCCCTTTCCCATCATACACTTACTCTGGAGGAAACCTACAATCTCTTCCACAGGCCGGAAACCGCACAGGCCCTCAAAGGGAGTTAGGGCGATGGCCATCTCAGGCTTGTGATTGGCATCTGGGTAGTGCTCTGGATATTGAGCATGAAGTTTCTCTGCCAGTTCCTACGAGAGGAGAAATGGGCAGACGGTAAGACCAGGATCCCTGGGACACTGAACCTATACCTGATCATTCTCTGATCGATGGATCGCAGAATCTGGGAGACACCTGAGATAGGTGGGCTAGTGAAGAGAAACAACCTGATCCCAAAGGATCAGAAGTGACCCAGAAGCAATAGAATTTGGAGATGGATCCAAAAGATTCCTTCTGTTAAAGGCAGCTAGGTTGGGACCCATTCTTTAACATCAACAGAGAAGGAATCAATTGGACTGGCATGATGATCCGGCACAAATGGTCTATTTTGACCCTGAAATTAACCCTGGTTGTCCCCATTGCTTCTCTCTCCTTGTCGTAGAGCCCAAGACAAAATTGCCTGCCAATCGTTGACACTCTGATGCCGTCACAGACAATGTCATATAAAACAGGAGAGCCCAATTCAGTAGCAGCACCTAACCAACCTTGGGTGATCTCCAGAAACTAAGCAGGCATCGATCTGGTTATTATTTGGAAGGGAGACCAGCAGGACATACTAGGATTATGGGCCATACTGCAAAGTCAAAAGGCCTTCCTAGAAGAAGACAGTAACAAACCATTTCTGAAGGGTTGCCAAGAAAAGCAACCGGACATGTCTGGTTGTTACCAGGAGTCAAATCAAAGGAGACTTTGCATTTATATATTAGTAACAGGCAACCTATATAGGTTCTCTGCCCCCCCTTTTCTGCAACCCAAGGCTCCTTCTAAATGCCAATTTAAAGCCCCCCTCCAAAAAACTTACTGTAAGGTGCTAAAATGAGAGCACACCACACGCTTCCCTTCCCCAAAAGAAAGGAAAACAAAAAGTTAAAATCAGAGAGATAACAACACCCGGCAACAAGACATGACAACGAACCCTCTTCAGGGCCATCAGCCAAGAGGAAACACCAGTCTTTCCAGCCGAGAAACCACAATGGGAGAACGGCAGAAGATTTCCCATGCACAGCCAGGAAAAGCCCTTACCTTGGTAGGATGTGCCTGGATGGACAAAGCGGAATTGACCGACAGCACTTTGAAGAGGAAAGGCAGCTGACCTTGAAAGGTGTCCTTCACCTTTGAACCCAGGCAGGCAGGGTTATCTGTGATCCACCGGCTTAAAGCCTTTTGGGGAATGCGGTTATCCAGAATGACTGCATCTCCCTTGGGGTGCGCACCCATCCAGAGCTGGAAAGGAAGACAGAGCTTGCACTGGGGATCCCACAGCACCTTTGGATTTGGGGTAACATGAAAAGTGAGCTCAGCCCGTTGTGATGGACCCAATAACCCTGGTTAGATCAGTCATGGCTTCACAAAACGAGTGAACCCAGCCAGAGAACAACACTCGGTTTTAGCAAAGGGACGGGCAACACACTTTTTTTTCCCTTGTAATCTTGGGGTTAGAGTAGAGAGCCAGTTTGGTGTAGCGGTTAAGGTATCAGGCTAGAAACTGGGAGACCTTGAGTTCTAGTCCCTCCTTAGACATGAAGTCAACTGGGTGACCTTGTGCCAGTCCTTCTCTCTCAGCCCTAGGAAGGAGGCAATGGCAAACCATTTCCAAAAATCTTACCATGAAAACTCCAGGGACTTGTCCAGGCAGTTGCCAGGAGTCAACATTGACTTGAAGGGACACCCACACCCACACAATCTTGTGTGTACAAGATTGTGGACAGGTGGTGACTCAAGGGCACCACATGAACAGATGTGACTTGAAAACGTTCCCGTCAGGGAGATGGCCAGGATTCCCAGAACATGTCTTTTGGGAGGGTTGTGGGAGACGTCGTTTGGTTCCATTTTCATAATTTATTAGGTCTGTTCAGCTTCACATGAAGGAAGACCAGAGGAAATTTTTTAAAAAATGGATGCCAGCAACTTGGTTGGTCTGCAAGAACAGGAACTCACCTCAGCGTATGGTTTGTCAGCTTCAATCTGTGCCACAGGGTCATTGCTTTCTAAGAACTTGGCAACTTGGCTGTCCCGGCCTCGCTTACCCCATGCATAGTTTTGCACAGCACAGACCAGGGGAAACACTGAGCAAACCGAAGAGAGAAGAAGTCATTGAAGGACACCATCTAACAAGCATCACCTAAGAACGTCCCCCTGGCCACCAAAGGTTTCTCACGGCTGGGCTTCTCCACCAAGAAACCTATCTCCATCTCCTTCTTAACCACCTGCTAAAAACAATCTAGGGCAGAATGTGGCTTAGGAAGGTCCAGATCAGCTTTGGATTCTGATCAGCTCTTTGAGGAACCCTACATATTCCACTCCATGTTCTCCAGAAGACAATGGAATAAAAACATCCCATATCAATTTCCTCTTTTTTCTTTCCAAAATCTAGAGCAGGGGTTTTCAAACTTTTTCTGGCCGTGGAACCTATTAAAAAAGAAAAAAACTTGGAGCCCCTGAGGAAGAGACAAAGCTCTAGCGCAGTGTTTCTCAACTTTGGCAACTTTAAGATGGGTGGAC